TAATAAGGGTAAAATTCATTCGAGATGATTCTGTATATGGAGATAAATCTCAAACAAAGATTGCTTTTAAAATTATTAATAAATATGAACCTATTCGTGAATCAAAAAAGGCAGGTAGAAAATACATCGGGGGTGGTCCAAACGTTATACTTACAAAGAAAATGAAACCAGGATTTTGGGTAGGAATAGATAAAAAATTTTTGGTTAAAAAAGTCAGTGAGCAATCTGAGGTAGGGAAGCTTGACAGTAATACAGTAGTCTATAGATTATATCGAATCCGAAAGCCAGATGTCAATCGATTAATACCTATAAAAGATAGAGCATTTAACTGTGTAGCTCAACAAGTAATAGAGCATTTTGATAATACTAAGCGAGGGCATGGACTCACAGAAATTCGTCGGCAAAAAATAAATGATTGGGAGAAAAAAATGCGTATTCCAGGTACTCAAGTACAAGATGTAGCAGAGTTAGAAAAAAATCTTAAACGACCGATTAAATTACTTGATATAACTTATGATACTATATTTAATAGTGGAAAATATCGATCAGGTAAGTATGAAGAAATCGGAATAGTAGTTCATAATGGCCATGCATTTCCAAGAAACCAGCACTTCCCAAGAGATCGAATGGTCAAATATTATAAGGGTGATACATGGGAAGCTATCAGTAATGCCCTCAGGTGACCTCAAGCAATCTGGCTTATGGGAGTGGGGGATACAAGTCAAACAATATCCCAGTTTATTCTAGAAGATGGTCGCATATTTAGAACATTGAAAAAGCATACAGAAATTATAAAAGCATGCAAACAACTGGTCAATGATACAATAGATTGGCAATATCAGGAAGGAATAATCAATAAGGAAAAGAAATCGATTCTTTCAGAGTCTCTAAAAGTTATTGATTTAGCAGAGCAGGTATTTGGTGCAAACCATGCTAGAAGCCGACTCACTAATGAAATCAATGAATGGCATCCAATATCTGGAAAAGTAAATGAAAATATAAGGCAAGTCTGTGTCAAGCATGGGCATGGTGGATGCTGAAATGCATCTGATTATCACATCAATGATGTCATATATATCGATATGAAAGAATGTTATCCAGCAAGTATGCGAGGTTAAGGAGAATGTACACCATGGTTCAATAGGTTCGGACATCCAACACACTACCTTGTTCGAGTTGCGGTAAATAGAGAATTGTCAGAGGATGATATCACTAGATTTGCGCAAGTAAGATCTTTTAAATTTGCATTAAATATACATTCAGTGATTCCCATCTGGTACAGAAAACATTTTGCATATCGAAGTGGAGAAGGATGTGGGAAAGAAAAAGGATGGGCACCTATTGTACTTCTACAGTATCTTCTTGAGGTTGGTATTCTAGAAAGTGTGACTATTGGAGAGGCAATAATTTCTCTTACTAAACAAACCAAAGTATGGCTACCTAGAAATTGAGATATTAGTTGTGCAATTATAGGTAAGTTTACACAAGGTGGCAAGATTGATGAAAAATGCCTTATTCATTGACTTGTAACAGATGAAGGTGAGCTTGATTTCTTGATCAAAGATTGTACTGATGCTGGAACTTTTGCCGGAAGAGAA